TTTGGTCACTTCACATGACCCTGGGACACTGTGACCGTCATAAATATGAATCAGTTGCCAAGCATCTGAATGTAAATCACAAGACCCTGGAGATGCTGCAACATCCCAGCTGATCGGTGCTTCTTCTGGGCTCAGCAGAAGCGTCAGGATCAGTGCTGCTTTCCAGCTGATTGGTGCTTCTTCAGGGCTCAGCAGAAGCACCAGGATCAGCGCTGAGCTCCAGCTGGAGCCTGGCACTGATCCTAGCGCTTCCACTGAGCCCAGACAGCCCCGAAGAAGCGCTGATCAGCTGGAAAGCGGCACTGATCCTGGCGCTTCCACTGAGCCCTGACAGCCGGTTCAGCTCATTCCCCTCCCCCGCTACCACTTTTCTAGGATGGTCGTGTACCACCTGCCAGGTGCCAATGTACCGCAGGTGGTACCCGTACCACTGGTTCAAAAGCCCTGCTCTAGGTCCATGGCCCAGTACTGTTGGGAGGAAGCGGTCCGTGCAAGCAGTGGGCGAGCATACACATGCACAAAACTGCATTTGCACAAGAGGTGCACGTGCAAAACCATCCCCTCATCCTGTCCCTGACACTGCCAGTCTGCAGAGCAGGAAAGGTTTAGGACCGCTGATTTTAAGCTTCTCTGTTGGCTTCAGACAATTCAGTCCAGAAAATAAGCTTAAGATGCAGAAGGGTCTTGAACATTGGGGTCTGTCTAACAAAATGAAATTGAGTTTTGAAAAAAAAGGAAGGCGCCACATTTAGGCAGGACAAACCAAATGCACAATTATGGAATAGGTGGTAGCTGGCTCAACAGTAGTGGCTGTGAGAAGGATCATGGAGTCCCCAGTAGACAATCACTTAAATACGAACCTGCAGTGCGCTGCAGCTGCCAACAAAGCTAATGCAGTCATAGGCTGCATTCACAGAAGGACAGAATCAAGATCACATGAAGTGTTAATGCCACTATATAAGGCCTTGGTAAGACCAAACTTTGGAATATTGCCTCCAGTTTTGGTCGCCAAAATATAAAAAAAAAGATGTTGAGACTCTAGAAGGAGTGCAGAGAAGAGCAACAAAGATGATTAGGAGACTGGAGGCTAACACATACAAAGAAATGTTGCAGGAATTGTGTATCTCTAGTTTAATGAAGAGAAGGACGTGGGGGGACATGATAGCAGTGTTCCAATATCTCAGGGGTTGCCACAAAGAAGAGGGAGTCAAGCTATTCTCCAAAGCACCTGAAGGCAGGACAAGAAGCAACGGATGGAAACTCATTAAAGAGAGAACCAACCTAGAACTATGGAGAAATTTCCTGACCATGAGAACAATTAATCAATGGAATGACTTGCCTCCAGAGGTTGTGGGTGCTCCAACATTGGAGATTTTTAAGAAGAAATTAGACAGCCAGATGTCTGAAATGGTATAGGGCAAGGGTAGGCAACCTTGGCTCTTTTATGACTCGTGGACTTTAACTCCCAGAATTCCTGAGCCAGCTATGCTGCCTCAGGAATTCTGGGAGTTGAAGTCCATAAATCATAAAAGAGCCAAGGTTGCCTACCCCTGGTATAGGGTCTCCTTCTTGAAAAGGGCGTTGAACTAGAAGACTCCCAAGATCCCTTCCATCTCTATTATTCTGTTATTCTGTGAAGCTGCTGAAGTAACAATTTTATGATAATCTCTTTTTAAAAAAATTCTTCCAGGTCTCTTGTCCTGATTGTTTTCCAAGCCTATCCCATTCTGCATGACTGCTCAAACACGTAGTTGTCCTCCCCCTGAGTCTTTAGCCAGCCCACGACAGAGCCAGGGAAGTGCATCTGATGGTAATTCTTAAAATTACCGACTGTTGTGCTATTGACATCTAGTAAACATTTTAGCCTGAGAAACCAGATCTATCCATGCCTGTGGATAGGTGGGCTAGCACTGGATGACTGCAAATGCGCTCTATATTCTTGAAGATTATTTGGAACTACACCTGGTGTAGAATGCAGAGCTTGGAGGGTGGAGTCAAGAAAGGAAGCGGCTTAGAGTCATTACATTCCCTCAAGCTAATAATAATAATAATGATGATGATGATGATGATGATGATGATGATGATGATGATGATGATGATGATGATGATGATGATGATGATGATAAAGTTGGAAGGGACCTCGGAGGTCATCTAGTCCAACCCCCTGCTCAGGCAGGAAACCCTATACCATTTCAGACAAATGGCTGTCCAGTGTCTTCTTAAAAACTTCCAGTGTTGGAGCATTCACCGCTTCTGGAGGCAGGTTGTTTCGCTGGTTAATTGTTCTCACTGTCAGGAAGTTTCTCCTTAGTTCTAGGTTGCTTCTCTCCTTGGTTAGTTTCCACCCGTTGCTCCTTGTTCTGCCTTCAGGCGCTTTGGAGAATAGCTTGACTCCCTCTTCTTTGTGGCAGCCCCTAAGATAACTGTTATCCAGCACCAGTTTAGTGCTGAATGTTAGTTGACCGGATTCTTGTGTATAGGCATGAGCAATAAACCACCTTAACTGAAACTTGATGAGTGGCCCTGATTCTTTGCGGTCTGACACTGGCTGAGATCATTGGTCCCTGGAGCTCTGGCTTTAGGACCTGTCACAGTTAATTTCCTTTGTCAGCTGTTGTACTTTGCAGAAGGAATAACCTTGAGGAACGGGCGACAGAGTCACCAGCAAGATAACAGTCAGATTTTAAAAAAAGGATATTTGGGTCAGTTAAGACCCTCTCTAGTTTTCACAAAAATAAAGGAAGGGGGGAGGGTGGCTGCATTTAAACTTGTAAGATTTTGTTACTATAGCTTTATAATAAAAGCTATATTAATTTGTAGGGTTATGCTTTCCTAATCTAGTCTACTGACGGACGTCTTCATATCTTAAAGGGCTTCCTTTATTTTTACTTATTTCATTTATTGATTTTTATCCTGACTTTATACTTTTACAAATAACTCAAGGCGGCAAACATATCCAACACATCTTCCTCCTCCTATTTTCCCCACAACCACAACCCTGTGAGGTGGGCTGGGCTGAGAGAGAGTGACTGACCCAAAGTCACTCAGCTGACNTCACCTGGCTTTCATGGCTAAGGCGGGACTAGAATTCACTGTCTCCTAGTGATTGGCCCAAACTCACTCACCTGGCTTTCATGGCTAAGGCGGGACTAGAATTCACTGTCTCCTGGTGATTGGTCCAAAGTCACCCACCTGGCTTTCATAGCTAAGGTGGGACTAGAATTCACTGTCTCCTGGTGATTGAGTCAAAGTCACCCAGTTGGCGTTCATGGCTAAAGCAGGACTAGAACTCGCTGTCTCCTGGTGATTGGCCCAAACTCATCCAGCCGGCTTTCGTGGCTAAGGCGGGACTAGAACACTGTCTCCTGGTGATTGGCCCAAATTCACCTAGCCAGCTTTCATGGCTAAGACGAGATTTGAACTCACAGCCTCAACTTAGAACTAGGGAGAAACTTCCTGACAGTTAGAACAATTAACCAGGGGAACAACCTGCCTCCAGAAGCTGTGAATGCTCCAACACTGGAAGTTTTTAAGAAGAGACTGAACAGCCATTTGTCTGAAATGGTATAAGGTTTCCTGCCTGAGCAGGGGGTTGGACTCAATGACCTCCAAGGTCCCTTCCAACTTTATTATTATTATTACTATTATTATTATTATTATTATTACTATTATTATTATTATTATTATTATTATTATTATTATCTTAACCACTAGATCAAACTGGCTTCTTCCTCCTTCCTTTACCAAATCAACACACTTGAGATGTACAAGAAATATTAAAGCAGTAGATACGCATCATTGGCACCATCACTCCCTGGTGACTTTAATGAAGATAATAATATCAATCCAATTAGACCTGTTGGCCTCTCGGATTTTTTTTTTAAAGAGGAAGGAAGAAAAATAGCAATAAGCCAGTGGTATTAATAGCAGGTATAATTTCATCAGGCAGGAATGCAACCCTGAAATTATCATTTTCAAGCTGCCTATTAAGCCTTTTAATTCATCACCTTTAATCGTATCACACTTGTCAGTTTCGACTTCCTTATTTGTGCCTGTTTTTAATAGCCAAACAATTGGGTTTCTGGGACAATGTGGCTCTTCATTAGTAGGAGAAAAATGACATTTAAAGGGAAAAAAATGCCCATTTTATTAGAGTTTGATACTATTGGACGGCAAAGTCTAAGTTAATCATGGTCCAATCCGCCATAGTCATTTTCTATTGTTAAAAAAAGTAAATATATATTTCTTGGTGATTTCTTAGATATTTCCACGTAGGTTTTTTTTGGCAACAATAGAAAAGCAGTTTTTTATCTGCCTTTGAGGCAATCTGACTTTGCTTGTCAGAAGGTTGCAAAAGGTGATCACATGACCTTGGGACACGGCAACGGTCATACGTATGAACCAGTTGCCAAGCGTCTGAATTTTGATCACGTGACCCAGGGGGATGCTGCAATGGTCGCAAGTGTGAAAAAATGGTCCTAAGTCACTTTTTTTCGGTGCCCTTGCAACTTTGAACAGTCACTAAATGAACTGTTGTTAAGTCAAGGACTATCTGTAAATGGTGATCATGGGGATGTTGCAACTGTCGTAAATAGATGCTGGTTACCAAGCAACCAAATTTTGATCATGTGACTGTAGGGGATGCTGCCACTGTCATATGTACAGGGACAGACCATAAATATTATGACCCAGGAGACCAAGGCAAGCCTCTAGAGCAAGGGTCTTCAAACGTGGCCCTTTTATGACTTGTGGACTTCAGCTCCCAGAATTCCTCAGCCAGCGTGCCTGGCTGAGGAATTCTGGGAGTTAAAGTCCACAAGTCATAAAAGGGCCAAGTTTGAAGACCCCTGCTCTAGAGAGTCCTTTATTGCTCTCGATAAATGTTCCAGTAAACGGCCCTCCAACGACCATAAGGCTCAAGCCCCACATTACTCTGAAGGCAGCCACCCTCAGCCCCCCAAATAACAGCCCCTATAGTGTAAAGAAAGCCCACAGAGTAGGAGCACCCTCGCAGGGCAAGGTCCAGGGTCCCAAGTCCAATCCACTAGGATTGCTGCCCCAAAGAAGAGGGAGTCAAGCTGTTCTCCAGAGCGCCTGAAGGCAGGACAAGAAGCAACGGGTGGAAACTAACCAAGGAGAGAAGCAACCTAGAACTAAGGAGAAACTTCCTGACAGTGAGAACAATTAACCAGTGGAACAACCTGCCTCCAGAAGCGGCGAATGCTCCAACGCTGGAAGTTTTTAAGAAGAGACTGGACCGCCATTTGTCTGAAATGGTATAGGGTTTCCTGCCTGAGCAGGACTAGATGACCTCCAAGGTCCCTTCCAACTTTATTATTATTATTAACTGCCAAACAAGCCAACAGTAAAACTGCCCAATTAAGGAACTCCCAAAGAGCACTCCCACCGACACTGACAGGGCAAATCCCATTTCCCGCTAGCACTGATAATAATAATAATAATAATAGTAAAGTTGGAAGGGACCTTGGAGATCATCTAGTCCAACCCCCTGCTCAGGCAGGAAACCCTATACCATTTCGGACAAATGGCTGTCCAGTTTCTTTTTAAAAACTTCCAGTGTTGGAGCATTCACTGCTTTTGGAGGCAGGTTGTTCCACTGGTTAACTGTTCTGTCAGGAAGTTTCTCCTTAGTTCTAGGTTGCTTCTCTCCTTGGTTAGTTTCCATCCGTTGCTTCTTGTCTTGCCTTCAGGCGCCTTGGAAAATAGCTTGACTCCCTCTTCTTTGGGGCAGCCCCTGAGATATTGGAACACTGCTATCATGTCCCCCCTCGTCCTGCTCTTCATTAAACTAGTCATACCCAATTCCAGCAACCATTCCTTATATGCTTTAGCCTCCAGTCCCCTAATCTTACCTAGTTGAGTAATGATCTTATCTAGTTGAGTAATGAAATGTCTGCAAGAAAGCAACCAAGCTCAGAGACCACCAAGGACCCCACAGTTCTCTAACTCAGTTTGGTTGTGGTGAACAGTTCTCACAATTATGACTGTTGCAGCACCCTAGCAGTCTTGTGATCCTACTTGGCAACCGACATGCGTTTATGATGGTCCCCGGGGTGGTCATTGTGCAGCCTTCCTAGAGAGCTTCTGACAAAGTCAACGGGAGAAGCCAGATTTGCTGAACGATCCCACGATTCACTTAACAACAGCAGAGATTTGCTTAAAAATCATGGCAAAATAAGTCATGAAACAGGGCCTGGCTCACTTAACAACTGCCTTGCTTAGCAATGGAAATTTTGCGCTCAACTGTGGTTGTAAGTCAAGGACTACATTTTCCAGCTAGGCATTAAAATCATCTGGATTCCTTCTCAAGTACACACAGTGTATTAACCACTGGACCATGGAAAGCACCGCAACCTTCTGGTTTGTCCTAGACCACCATTGTCTGCCTCTTTGATGTGCCTCAATTAGCAGACCTTCAAAGCAATGTTCTTTCAGAGTTCACTTCTTATTAGCCTCCAACGAGGCCAGGAGAGACAAAGTGGAAGAGAGTGACAAAGAGCAGCCAAAGGCACGTGTCACCTATGATTTTATTGTCCATCCATGTGACGAAGTAATTGGCATTCCTGTCACAGAGTCTCGTGGGCCATGTGTGGTTTTCTCTTCCTGGGTACAAAAGCATACGCGGGTTTCTAATTTCTTCTCGCTCTAACCCTTTCCTGCCTTCTTTTCTTCCTTTTGACTCAGATTAACTGTGGTCCCTTCCTTGTCCTAGAGGATTTCTTACCATCTTGTTCAGAATCCTCGAATGTGCTCAGCATCTACGCTGGCACAAGTGCATTTATGTCCTCTATGATGCCTTTCAAACATGATCAAGTCAGCACGGGACATTTAACCCATACACTAGAGCAGGACTTTTCAACCTTTTCACCCATTGTACCACTTTTAGGATATGGCAATATCTGAGTACCACCAGTCGCCTAGCAAGGTGTCAAAAACTTGATGACCAAAAAAAAAAAAAGGAAAAAAGTGATGAAGTACAGGTAGTCCTCGACTTACAACAGTTCGCTTAGTGACTGTTCGAAGTTACAATGGCACTGAAAAAAGTGCCCCCCAAGCCACAGCCGAGCAAGACACCTGCCTGCCCACCCAGCGGCGCTCTTCCTCCTGTCCGAGGTTATCATTGTTGTGAGCATTTCTGTTGAAGATTGGCAGTGGGGGTGGGGTAGGGGGGTGTTTGGTTTTTATTTCCCCCCCCCCCCCGTCTGCTGGGTGGTTGCAGCAGGTTTTGGTCACTTCACATGATCCTGGGACACTGTGACCATCATAAATATGAATCCGTTGCCAAGCATCTGAATGTAAATCACAAGACCCTGGAGATGCTGCAACATTCCAGCTGATCGGCGCTTCTCCTGGGCTCAGCAGAAGCGCCAGGATCAGCGCCGAGTTCCAGCTGGAGCCTGGCGCTGATCCTGGCACTTCCACTGAGCTCTGACAGTCCCGAAGAAGCGCTAATCCCAGTGCTTCTGCTGAGCCCTGACAGCCCTGCAGCTCCAGCCGTCTCTCACTCAGGGTTGTGCGGTGCTGCCACCGGTTCAGTTCATTCCCCTCCCCCCTACCACTTTTCTAGGATGGTCGCGTACCACCTGTCAGGTGCCAATGTACCATAGGTGGTACCCGTACCACTGGTTGAAAAGCCCTGGACTAGAGCAACCGCAATTGCAACAGAAGAAGAGACACACAAAAACATTAGCAATAGCAATAGCTCCTAGACTTATACGCCACTTCACAGTGCTTTACAGCCCTCTCTAAGCAGTTTACAGAGTCATCGTATTGCCCCCAACCATCTGGGTCTTCATTTTACCGACCTCAGAAGGATAGAAGGCCAAGTCAACCTTGAGCTGGTCAGGATCGAACTGCCCGCAGTGGGCAGAGTTAGCCTGGAACGCTGCATTCTAACCACTGCGCCACCACGGCTCTTCTTAGGGAATTTCTGGCACTCTAAAAAATTAGCCATCCGTAGACACATAGACACAAACAACGTCTACATGCAAAAGAAACACAATCCAAAGACCAAAATGCCTCCCCACCAGCACTTATGAGCACAGATTAATTCCAAGATTAAGATCAGACCAACAGTCAAGTAAACAATCCACAATCAAGGAACTTGCCAAACAAACCAACAGTAAATAGCCCAGACAAAGAACTTCTAAGACCACTCCCACTAACACTGACAGGGCCAGCCACTAGAATGTAAAACGAGAGAAAACCCCACTCCTTACTGTCACTGATGATGTTACCTAGTTGGGTAATGAAACATCTGCAAGAAAACATCCAAGCTCAGAGAGCATTAAGAGCCCCTTAGAAATGCATATATCACCGAGCAGGTGGAATATAGCCCTATCAGGATGACACCTTGAAGAGAGCTGCAATTCTCTGCTGGATTTAAGAATTCCCTAATGATTTATTATCTCTAAGAGGGAGAGGTATAAAACCCGTGACTCACAGTTTTTCAGCATTCCTGATCCAAACAAGTGAGCTTGAGAAATCTCTGCTCTTTTCCTTCTGCATGGAGAGATTGGGAAGGGTTCGTACAACGCTTTTAACCTCCCTCTCCAAATGGGGCTTGGCTTGTCCATTTTTGGAATTGTCAGAAGAATAATTTGGGGTTCCAACTCGAGCTGCATAAGAACAAATCAAAATGAAATCCTGACAGCTGAGAGAAAAGGAGACTTACTTATACCCCAAAGCAAAGAGATTCGCCTGTGGGGATAGCTACAGAGAAAAAGAGGTATAAAAGGGTTGTTTTATAGGGACACTGGTCCTTTGTGTAGGCTTGAGGGACATGCTGGTTCTAGTGTGTGACACTTGAGGGGCATGGGTATATGTATATGTTGACCCGGACAAGGGGTTGATCAAGTGACGTGGATTGGGTCTCTTTGTTTTGAGTTGTGAGCATTAAAATTGTGTTTCCATTATGTTAATTCAGTTTCGTGTGTTTGCTTGTGTGTGTGGTTTGCAATTTGAAACAAGTGTTTGATTCCTTCTCATGTTTGCTGTGAGTTTAAAGGGTTTTAAGTTAATCAATAACTTTGTTCGAGACTTGGGCTAGTTAACGTATGATTCCAGTGGTGGGATTCAGCCGGTTCCCACCACTTCGGCAGAACCGGTAGCTAATTTTTTGTTGCCCAGGCCCAGAATGGACTTCTGGAAGCGGCATCCACACAGAGAACCGGTGGTTCACGTATTTGAATCCCACCACTGTATGATTCCTTCTACAACATTTCTAATGCAGTTATGTAAATTTATCAATTCTTCCCACTGAATGCAGTCGAAATATGCTGCAAATGACTCAATGTGTCCTTCAAATGTACGGAGGTGCTCTAGGCTCATGCGTTAGCTGCGTCCATAGAGAGTGAGTGCAGCATCACATAATCCTCCTCAACCAGCTTTTGCAGCAACTGACTCACCTAGTTAAGTGGAAGATTCATAAATAATGGAGGAAAAGAGATTTAAGCGCCAATACCGCCATCCCCTAGCTCAGGGGTGTCAAACTCAATTTCATTGAGGGCCGCATCAGCATTGTGGTTGCCCTCAGGGGGGCGGGTGTGTGTGGCCAGGGTGGGTGCAGCCTACTGGGTGGGCGTGGAGTGGGTGTGGCCTACTGGGTGGGCATGGCCAGCTCTACATCGTTCGCGTCAAGGGTGCCTGTGGGGGCCTGGGCAGGAGTGGGACAGATCTGGCAGAAGGGGGTGGGACTGGGGCAAGCGCCAAGGCATGGTCCATTTCTTCATTCCTCACAAAGGGTGACACCTCCCCAGCATGCACCCAGGGGGCGGGGGCGACACAGCAGGGGCTGGTTCCTCGCTGTTTCCAGACGGCCTTGTGGAGCTAAGACTGAATGCGTTTCAGCATAGATGGCCACCACAAAATTGTACATTGGCTCCCGGCCGGCCTGGGCCAGGGCCAAGGCAGCGGGGGCCGTTCCCTCACTGTTTCCAAGATGGCTTCGCGGGCCACATGAAACCACTTCGTGGGCCGCATCCGGCCACCGGGCCTTGTGTTTGACATGTCTGCCCTAGCTTCATTTGAAGATAGTGATAGATTGATATGAAGTTCTTCCTGATGGAAGAGAATATTTGTAGCTGAGGGTTGAACTGTGGGGTCCTTGGTGCTCTATGAGCTTGGTTGTTTTTTTGCAGATGTTTCAATACCCAACTAGGTAACATCATCAGTGCTTGGCCTGATGACATTATCTAGTTGGGTAATAAAACGTCTGCAAGAAAACAACCAAGCTCACAGACCATGAAGTACACCTCAGAGGTTCTTCCCATGGTCCATACGTAGTCAGAGGTTGACCACCATATTCTGTGCCAGATGCAGCTTTTGCATTTTGATAAGAGCAATTCCATGGAGAACATATCAAACACATCAGTCTTTCTTAACCTGGGGCATTCTAGGTGCATCGAATGTCTGTGTCCACAATCTGCAGCCTACCTATGGTAGATCATTCTTAATTTTTATCTGATAATTACTAGGTCCCTTCTGAATTGATAAATTCACGTGTTCCAGACCATATCAGAAACATTATATGCAGACAATTTCTGTGACCAAAACATTCTAGATATACCTATTTTTTCCCCAAAAGAGGGCAAAGAACTCACCATTCTGACCTTAAGCATTTAGATCAGGGGTCTTCAAACTTGGCCCCTTTATGACTTCAACTCCCAGAATTCCTGAGCCAGCATGGGGGAACTATGCCCCTTCATGACTTGCGGACTTCAACTTCCAGAATTCCTGAGCCAGCATGGGGGAACCATGGCCCCTTCATAACCTGCGGACTTCAACTCCCAGAATTCCTCAGCCAGCATGGGAGAACTATGGCCCCTTCATNCCGGTGCCATGGAGCGCTTTAAAGATAATAACCATCACCTTGAAGCGCACCCGGAAGGCCACCGGTAGCCAATGCAGCTCGCGCAGAAGCGGCGTAACGTGGGAGTGACGAGTCCCTCCCAACACCGCCCGCGCGGCCGCATTTTGGACCAACTGGAGCCTCCGGGTGCTCCTCAAGGGAAGCCCCATGTAGAGAGCATCATGACTTGTGGACTTCAACTCCCAGAATTCCTCAGCCAGCATGGGGGAACTATGGCCCCTTCATGACTTGCGGACTTCAACTCCCAGAATTCCTCAGCCAGCGTGCCTGGCTGAGGAATTCTGGGAGTTGAAGTCCGCAAGTCATAAACGGGCCAGGTTTGAAGACCCCCGGTTTAGATATTCAGACACTGGATGTGCTGTCCTAAGATACAGTAGTCCTCGACTTATAACAGTTCATTTAGTGACTGTTCAAAGTTACAACTTTGGGGGGGGAAAGTGACTTATGACCATTTTTCACACTTACAACCATTGCGGCATTCCCATGATCATGTGATCAAAATTTGGACACTTGGCAACTGAATCGTATTTATGACGGTTGCAGAGTCCCGGGGTCACGTGATCCCCTTTTACGACCTTCTGACAAGCAGAGTCAACAGGGGAAGTCAGATTTCACTTCACAATTGTGTTACTAACTTAACAATTCCACTTAACAACTGTGGCAAGAAAGATTGTAAAATGGGACAAAATTCACTTAACGCATGTTTCGCTGAGCAAGGGAAATTTTGGGGTCAGTTGTGGTTGTAAGTCGAGGACTACCTGTGTAGACAGCAACAGGAACTTGCTGTCTTGTTTGGTATGCACTGTTTTGATACTAAGGAGAGTGGAAGCTACAACAAATAGCAGTGTAAAATGATAATTGGGTTATTAGGTAGTTCGATATTGACAATCTGCTTGTATAGCAACCACGAAGCCTTTGAGCGGCTAGAAAGAAAAGATATTTAATTTGCCAATTTTAGATCTGCTTTCTTTGAAAATCTTTGGAAATCTGCCAATCTGGAAATCAAATCATGTCAGATGGGTTGTGGTTTAAGAAGTATCTTTGTCCTAATGAGAGTTCTGTTATGAGATGACATTGTTTAATTCTGGAAAGAGGTATCACAATTGAGAGAGAGAGAGAGAGAGAGAGAGGGAGAAAAACATAGACACATGTTTTAATTTCTCTAGATTCGATAAGCCATTCTGTCAATATTATCACCCGCCAACCAGATTACATTTGAAAACCTTTTATGCCTATAATTTCTGACATCTGCCTTTATTTTTCGTTTGCATGATTCATGGTTTGCATGATTTTATACATTAATTTTTGGCATGATGGTTAATGTTGTTTTGGATCCAAGTGTTTACAGTCGTAATGGGGCGTTTGTAGATTTTTATGTCTATCATTTTTCTCCCTTTATTTTTTTGCTTTTATTACTAAATTTTAAATATCCTTGGAGTGTAAAAGTGGCATGAAACTTTGGTGACCAAAATAAAGCACATGCAATCAAATTTGGAAGCAGGAATGGATGCTGCAGGTTTTTAAACAGTGTGTAAATCTATTAGGATTGTGAAATGATGAAAAAAAATATTTAATAGATCTGAATAAAGAAAGGAAAGTAGATTGATATGCCATGATGAATATGTATATATTATCTATTATTGATATATGTATGTATGTATGTGTATATATATATATATATATATATATATATATATATATATATATATATATATATATATATATATATATATATNAGCACATCTCACATTCGTGGCAGTTTGCCCTGATGAAGCCGGGAGGACCCGGCGAAAGCTCGGCGTTTTATATTTATTAAACCTTTTTATGGTTTCATAATTCTCCTGGTGGGCTCACTTTTTTAAGTGCTATCAGTCATGAATTTACCTAGGAGACAACCTTTTATTTTTAGTTTATTGTGTAATGATATATATATATATATATATATATATATATATATATATATATATATATATATATATATATATATATATATATATATATATATATATATATATATATATATATATATATATATATATATATATATATATTCAAGGTAGCTCATAGAATTTAAATAAAGCAAAATAATTAAATACAGGTATGCAAACGTTATAGTACACAAATAAAAAATGAGTATATATACCATAGCAAACAGTAAAACACAGTAGTAATAGTGTAGGATGGATGGAAGGCTGAGTCAAGTGGTTGGAATGTAATATTTCAGCCTGACTCTGTCCACTGCCAGGAGTTCGATCCTGACAGACTCAAGATTGACTCAGTCTTTCATCCTTCCAGGTCAGTAAAATGAGGACCTAGATTGTTGGGGGCAAATGCTGACACAGTAAACCACTTAGAGAATGCTGTAAAGCACTATGCAGCGGTATATAAGTCTAAGTGCTATTGCTATTGAGCTGGTCAGGATCGAACTCCTGGCTGTCAGTAGAGTTAGCCTACAATACTGCAGTTTAACCACTGGACTATCAGGACTCAGCTTAACCAAGGATAATTCTAACCAAGCTTAACAGGAGATGTGAATGCAGCTGCTACATCTTTAGCCTCATTAAGACTGTTTTCTGAACCCAGTCATAAGTTTGTGGCAAGGAAATGCTTTCTTAGAAGAAGCATTCTCATCGTGATGGATAAAAAAAATGGGAATGCCTCTTTTTAAAAAAAGAAAAGAAAAAAGAAAAAGTTTGCAGCTTTCAGATGTAACTGAATAAGAATTCCCACTGGCCATAACTAACATAGCTAATGGTTCTGGATGATAAGAGTTTGACCCTATTTGAAGGATAACCAGTGGTTGGAAACTGAACAAAGAGAGAAGCAACCTAGAATTAAGGAGAAACTTCCTGATAGTGAGGACAATTAACCAGTGGAAAAGCTTGCCTCCAGAAATTGTGGGTGCTTCATCACTGGAAATTTTTAAGAAGAGGCTAGACAGTCACTTGTCTGAGATGGTATAGGTTCTCCTGCTTAACTAGGGGGCTGGACTAGAAGACCTCCAAGGTCCCTTTCAGCTCTATTCTATTCTATTCTATTCTATTCTATTCTACTCTACTCTACTCTACTCTACTCTACTCTACTCTACTCTACTCTACTCTACTCTGTTCTACTCTACTCTACTCTACTCTACTCTATTCTATTCTATTCTATTCTATTCTATTCAAATTCTATTCTATTCTTCTTCTGGTTGAGACAGGACTTCTTCAGGGCTTTTAAAATACATCCTTGTAGCTACATTAATATGCTCAATAGCATACGTTGCTTCTGCGTAAGCATTCTGAGTTCCAGTTGCATCTGCTTAATTTCTATATCCTTTTATGCAACTTGGAAGTAAACCTCAATGTTTTCATTAGGATCAACTTCCAGATAGTCCCACAAAGAATTGGAGCCACTACCAATTAATCTGGGGAGGACTTCCTTAGCGTTCTCCTTCTATTTTGAACTACAGTCTCCACTGCCCTTGCAATCAGCCATGTTGAGAGTTTAAATATCTGTTGAGCATCACACTTCCTACTTCCGGTTTTAGGAAACATTACAGATAGTCCTCGACTTAACGACTGCAATTGAGCTCAAAATTTCTGTTGCTAAGCAAGACAGTTATTAAGTGACTTTTGCCCATTTTATGACCTTTCTTGCCACAGTTATTAAGTGAATCACTGTAGCTGTGAAGTTAGCAACCCAATTGTTAAGTGAATTTGGCTTGATTTTGCTTATCAGAAGTTTGCAGAAGGGGATCACGTGACCCCAGGACACGGCAACCGTCCTAAATATGAACCAATTGCCAAGCATCCAAATTTTGATCACATGGCCATGGGGATGCTGCAACAGTCGTAAGTGTGAGAAGTGGTCATTGAAGTGCCGTTGTAACTTCAAATGGTCACTAAACAAACGGTTGTAAGTCAAGGACTACCTGTGCACTTCTAACGTACGGAGATCTTAAAAATCCTTGAAGATCTCAACCCCCTTTGACTCTTTCCCTCCTTGGTCTTCTTCTCAATGCTTCCCTTGTGAAGCCAAGGACAGAGATTGGACACAGTCACCACAGTTGTCCTCCGCTTTTACCAGCTAGTTGTTTTGTCAGCATGAGTGTGACAACAATTAGACGCCCTTGTTTTTCGGCCATGCCTCTTTTCCTTCACAGTCATTCAATGACAAGCGTAAAAAGAACTTCATCTTTTCACGAAAATTCCCATTCTACAAGAGCAAGGAGATGAGTGAGCAGGACACCAGTGACCCGGAACGTAAGTACATGCTTAGAGACAACCTCACAGCAAAACACGTGGGTGACATTGCACGGCACACCAAGGCATCCTCATACACCTAGGCAAGGCTAAGTCAGGTTCAGGACAGGTGAGGCATTACTACTATGATCAATGTATATAACAGTCTGGATTCCCTGTGGGGCTTATGGGAGGAGAGGGAAGCAAAATTTACATCTGTCACTAGCGCTTGAACTATTCAAAACATCTGTTTTGGCCACTGTTCCTTCCACTTGGTCCGTCTCAAATTTGGGTGAAGGGGAAAGCCATGTCTTCACAAAATGTTTTGGGGACTGGGGTTTCATAACCTTCCATCTTAGCTAGTGATCTAGGTAGTCCTCGATTTGCAACCGTTCAAGGATACAGTGGCACTGAAAAAAAGATCTTTGGTCCTCTCTGAGCTTGGTTGTTTTCACAATCACTGATGGTGTCATGAAACGTCCGCAAGAAAACAACCAAGCATCAAGGACTCCTCATTTCAACTCTGAGCTAGAAATATTCTCTTTTTTTTGGTACTGAAAAAGGTGAGCGGCCTAAGGATGGAGCTCTCACCTCACAGTCAGGAGGGTGTGAATTGGATCCTAGGGAGCGGCCGATATTTCTCTCTCTGGGCACAAAGAGGAAATATTTGCTGTGAACTCCATATAGGTGTCAGGAAGGGCATCCGGCCAGCAAACGCTCAGCTTCATTCAGTTGCCTGGACTCCACCCCGAATTAAGGGATTAATTACAGCATCGTTAAAAGAAAAAGAAAAAGAAGATGACTTATGACCTTCTGTCCTCGCACTTATGACTATTGCAGCACCCCCATGATCACATGACCCAAACATGGGCATTTGGCAAGCAGGATGTATTTTCAACCGTTGCAGTGTCCCCCCCAACCAGCTCCCAAGAAGAGAGGTCAATGGGGGAAGCCTGATTCAGTTAATATCTACCCAAGACTTTTAACAACCTCAGCAATTCGCGTAACGACCACGGCAAAAAAAAAAAAGGTTGTAAAATTGAGTAGGATTCCGTTAACAACTTAGCAACGGAATTTCTGATCTCAGTTGTGGTCATAAGGTGAGGACCGCCTGCACTCCTTGGGTGAATTGTGCCTGTGAGTTCCCACTCAAATATTTACGGCTTTGACGGGTCTTAGCTTGAAAGCTCAGTCTATTGAACCGGAAGGCTCTTCATGATGGGATGGCTTGGACTAGTTCCCAGCTATTTAGAAAAAAAAAAGGGGGGGGAGTGTCTTATCTGTGAAAATCAGATATCTGATTGAAGTTTTCCCACTTTGCCGCTTCAAGGAATGCAGCCGAAGTGGGAAATCGAGATGCAAGTAATTTCTAAGCCATAAACTAAAAAGAAAAGAGAGAGATAATGAGTCTCCACTGGATTTAATATCTTCTATTGGGCATTTAGGGGCGTTTAGGGAGTGTAATGGCTCAGTAATTAAAGATGCTGAGCTTGTCAGCTGGAAAGCAGACGGCCTGGGGTTTGAGATCCAAGCACTGTGCAATGGGGTGAGCTCCATTACTGTTCCAATTTCTGTCCACCTAGCAATTTGAAAGCATGCAAATGCGAGTAGATTAATAGGTACCACTTCAGTGGGAAGGTAACAGCATTCTGTGTACCTTTAGCACAGTGGTGGCGAACCTATGGCAGGGGTGCCAGAGGCGGCACTCAGAGCCCTCTCTGTGGGCACACGCCGTTGCCCCAGTCCTAGGCCTTCAGCTGGGTTTTATAAAACCTTTTCGCTTTAGGCCTCCGCCGCCATGTGCAAAACAAAAGGTTCAATCAATCAGTCAATTTCAACTTCTCGCGGGGAAAAAAAAAGATCTTGCAAAGTTGGAATTGATTGATTGAACTTTTTAGTCCCACCCAGTCTGCCGTTACCACCTCAGCCACGCCCACCCAATGGGCCACACCCAACCAATGGGCCACACCCAGCCAATGGGCCACACCCACCCGACGATGCATAAGTGGGTTTTGGGTTGCAGTTTGGGCATCGGTCTCTAAAAGGTTCACCATCACTGCTTTAGCATATAGCCATGCTGGCCACATGACCATGGAAATGTCAATCAATGGTTGTAAGTCGAGACCTACCTGTATATTGCTATCACACGTATCCAAGCTTCCTTAAAAAAGCAGGCGTAAGGATGATATGTTCTCAAACTTCCACAGCTCCATTTATCTGAGATTAGAGGACATAAAATGAATGCTGGCCAGGTTCCCGATGCCCTCCCACGTGGTATTCAACAACAAGCTGATGTCAGCTGTATTCTGATCTGCCAGCCCAAACAGCTTCAATTTGTCCAATTTCTGAGACCACAGGTATTCCTCAACTCACGACCACAACTGAGCCCAAAATTTCCGCTGCTAAGCAAGACGGTTGTTGAGTGAGTTTTGCCCCGTTTTACAACTTTTCTTGCCACCGTTGTTAACTGAATCACTGCAGTGGTTAAGGTAGTAGCCAGGCTGTGGCTTCCCCCATTGACTTTGCTTGTCGGGAGGTCGCAAAAGGTGATCACGTGACCCCGGGGACACTGCAACTATCATAAATATGAGCCAGTTGCCTAGTGTCTGATTTTTGATCCTATGACCATGGGGATGCTGCAATGGTCATAAGTGTGAAAACCAGTCGTAAATCACTTTTTTCAGTGCCGTTGTAACTTCGGTCACTAAACAAATGGTTGTAAGTCAAGGACTACCTGTGTTTTTTTGTCTAAAGAGAGTGTTTTGTTTTCTCACTTTAACTACATCTCTTTGGCTTCCATGAAAGTCTTTGAATTGGGAGATTAAGCCTTACTTTTCTCCAAACGTGGGAATCCAGATTGAATTATCTGCATGGTCTGTCATGGTAGTATCCATTTCAACTGCACTGACCTGTTCCTTCCTCTTCTGCGGCTGTTCTTTCCTTTCATTGCTCTCTCCGGGGACTGCCGTGCAGGACTTCCCCGGATTAGGGGACGACGGTTATGGGACAAAGACTCTGAGTAAGTTCCCAGGAATGGTCACTTATAACCCTTTCTTTGGAAATAACTTTGTTTTTCATTTCATTTCTATTTTTTTTTCTTACTTTTAAAGTTTGGCTTTTTTTTTTCTTCCTAAAGAACCTTCTCCTCCTCCTTTTAAGCATGCACAAGATTAGATTTTACTTTTGGTCTCCAGCTTTGAATGCACTGGGGGTGGGGGGGGGAAGAGGAGTTTTCATCTTATTTTGTGTTCTGCATGACTACATTAATAGCATATAGCCTATGCAATGGATATGTTGATCTCTGCCAATAACAACTTTGTTTCCAGTATAATGCATTTTGTGACCATGGATTTTTTTTAAAAAAAGATCAGTGCTTTTTAAAAACAAGCTTAGGATTCTTGAAAAGTTGAAGAACAGATCCCCATCAGAAAATACTAGATAATGAAGAAGCTGTCCAAAAAGTGACTTATCCAAGATGGACAGTAGAGAGTAAGGTTGATGATGAAGAATCTGCCCAAAAGACGACTTATCCAAGATAGATGGTAGAGAATAAGGTTGATGATGAAGAAGCTGCCCAAAATATGATTTATCCAAGATCGATAGTAGGGGTAAGTTTGATGATGAAGAAGCTGCCCAAAAGATGACTTATCCAAGTTAGACAGTACAGAGTAAGGTTGATGATGAAGAAGCTGCCCAAAGGATGACTTATCAAAGATCGATAGTAGGATGTAAAGTTGATGATGAAGAATCTGCCCAAAAGATGACTTATCCAAAATAGATAGTAGAGAGTAAGGTTAATGATGAAGAATCTGCCCAAAAGATGACTTATCCAAGATGATAGTAGAGAGTAAGCTTGATGATGAAGAAGCTGCCCAAAGGATGAGTTATCCAAGATTGATAGTAGGGGTAAGGTTGATGATGAAAAAGCTGCTCAAAAGATGACTTATCCAAGATCGATAGTAGGATGTAAAGTTGATGATGAAGAAGCTGCCCAAAAGATGACTTATCCAAGATAGCTAATAGGAGCTATTGTTAAGGTAGAAAAGTGGGATACAAATACTTTGATTCAGTAACAAAGAGGTAATAAATAGAGGTATCATTTATTTCCTTTTCTCTATCATTTTTCTTCTTACATAAGAGAACTATGCACAGTAAATGAGACAGTATATAATCAACATGATAGTGCTAATTTTCAGTGTAGGTATCATTTCCTGCCTTTCCTTGACGTTCACAGCCTAAAATGATGTCAGAAGATTTATCCTTAGAATACTTATTCTAGGATTTGTTCTAGAATTTCATGCTGAGATGATGCAAAAGACATCTCCAGTCTTGCCCGTTATGCACTCTGAAGGTTCCAGCAGTTTTGGGGCAAAAGACAAGACATTGGGCAAAAATCTCCCAGAATGCAAATCACTCTTTTGAAGACTTGCTAAGCTCAGTTCTCGCAATCAGAAGTGACATCAAGGTGGCACTTCAGCGTACGTTCCTCAGGTTTCATTTCAGATCAAAGAGTTGGAGATGATTAACGTTCTTTCTTCTCAACTTTCATCTTCATTCTTCTTTCCACCACCTTAACAGAAACATTTTTAATTAATAATTTTAGCAGATTGCGATTTCACGTTCTTTGCAGCAGAAGTCAGATCTGAAAGTGTTCCTCTTTAGGGCTAATAATGTTTCATGTTAATGAATCAAACATTTCCCTTCCACCACTACCCCCAACAAAGAGAGATAATAATAATAATAATAATGATGATGATGATGATGATGGTGATGATGGTGATGATGATGATGATGATGATAAAGTTGGAAGGGACCTTGGAGGTCATCTATTCCAACCCCCTGCTCAGGCAGGAAACCCTATACCATTTCAGACAAATAGCTGTCCAGTCTGTTCTTAAAAACTTCCAGTGTTGGAGCATTCACAGCTTCTGGAGGCAGGTTGTTCCACTGGTTAATTGTTCTAACTGTCAGGAAATTTCTCCTTAGTTCTAGGTTGCTTCTCTCCTTGATCAGTTTCCATC